GAAAGACATTAGGGTGAGTCACGAATGACAATGTCCATAGGCAAAAAGTTCCTTTTTCAAGAGTAACTGGTAAGGTCTTATCGCTCCTTCCCACGATGTCATCCAATCACAATCTGTTGCTAGGCAAACAGTCCTGTCGTACCACATGACTTTCTCTCCCATGGGTAACAGATGTTATTTGGGTTACTGTGGTTTTCAAAGAGTCACAACAATACCCATCTATCTTATCACACAGAACCTTTCTCATGCTCTCAGAATAGCATTCTCCCTGCTCTCACTAGCAAACAACCTGTCAGCATAGCATAGATCCTTTATACAGAGAGACAAGATGGAACCTCTCTTGCACATTTCTTAATTACGAAACTCATGTGCCTTACAAGATTTTAACTACAAATACCATCTCATCACAACGTGTGGGATAGTTGAGTAAGTATTTGTAGCTGTGGGATCAGTGTTTTGTCCTTTTCAGGAGATTGGGTGATTATGATGATCAGGTTTTTTTTTGTTATGAATGTATTGTGATAAGGGGGAGATGATCTGTCACTGTGATTGATGGGTGTTGTCAGCTAGTCTTTTGTGTGCAGTGATCACCAGTCTTTGTGGCTGGGTAGAGTTTATTGACCTTTTTGCAGGCTGTATTTTTCAGTGCTGGGAGCCAGACTTTGTTGAGTTTTAGGTTTTCTACTTTTTTGTTGAAACTTTGCTGATGTTTGTGGATTTCAATGGCTTCCTTGTGTAGTCTAACATAATGATTGCCGGTGTTGTCCAGTACTTCTGTGTTTTGAAATAGGATTTCATGTCCACCTTGTTTCAGGACATATTCAGCTACTGCCGATTTATATACCTGGCCACAACTGCAAGGTATCTGGTGTACTCCTGCAGTGGTGAGGGGGTCCTTTTTGTCCTTTGCTGACCATAAAATTTATTGTATTTTTGTGGTGGACCCAAATACTGTTTGTAGGTTGTGTTTTTTCAGAAGTTTTCCCCTTTAATGTATTGCAGAAATATTTTATTTGGGGGTGGCTGTTTTTCTTCTTCAGTTCAGTGTTGTTTTCTCGGTGTGATGGCTCTTGTGATTTCATTCTTGGCATAGCCATTTGCCTGTAGGGCTCAATTCAAATGGTTAAGTTCGTTGGTGAGAAATTGAACTTCACAGTTCTGATTTGCACAATCTAACAATATTTTGATTATGCCTCTTTTTTGTCATGGGTGGTGGAATTTTTGTGTCGGTACTGGTCTGTGTGGGTGGGTTTTCTGTAGACCTTGTATCCCAATAGGAGGTCACGTTTGCATATGACCATGACATCTAAGAAAGGGAGTTGACCCTTGTGGCATTCACCCTCGTGGCCCCTGTTTGTCTCACTAAACACAGAGCTCACAAAGGCAAACCAAAACACCTCTTGACACGTTGCCACCAGTTGATCTCCTTATCAACTTACTTTACCAGAAAAGATGAAGGTCCATTCAGTACTGACTTTTTAATAAAACAGGTTTATTGATTACAGTTGGTTTTTGGAACAATTCATAGGCACATTCCTTAAGTTTAATCAAGCATCAATTTCAATCTTCTATATTAATTACCACAGTTCTCACTCAGATTCATCACTCCTCAGACCCCTCTTTCTCTCTCCTAACACCGACTGAATTCCTAACACTGACTGAACTCAGACTCGACTGACTCCTATATCTTAGGCCCCACCTTTTAACATCTCTTTTGGCCCCACCTCTTAACCACATTAGCATATAACTCATGAATAATACATAACTTATTGCATAAGAAGGATGAATGCTACATTCCTCCCCCTTAAACACGTTTTCCGTCCTAAACAAACATGCATCATTGCATAAAAATTCTACTTATCCTCTGGCAACATTCTGCAAGCAATAACAGCATTTTATATAACAATCACAATATCTTATCACTCTAAACATTTAAAACAATCAATATAGTTAAAACATTTGCATTAATAAAGACATACCAATCTCCTGCATTATTCACATCAACACAATTTACATTACATTACCTCCGCATCAATAAGGCTACTCACCATTATTTTTACCATCATTCTCCACCTCTCAGTTCATCCCCATTCAAACTTGGGATTTTAATCATTTTTCATAACTATATACAAACAGAGCATTTAATACAGCATTACAAACTTGGTTTAACCCCCCATTAGTCATTTGGCTTTCGAGGCAAGGTATCAGCACCCACACTCTGAGTCCCTTTTATGCTGTGGATTACAGAGTACAAGCCTTGCACATTCCTGCTGTCATCTGCTTGGCACAGCACCTCTCCAAGTCCAATGCTTGATGTATCTGTGAAGATGGTGAACTCCCTGCTCTAGTCAGGTACGCTGTGGACGGGTCCGATTGTTACCGCCTCCTTCAGCTGCTCAGATGACTGCTGGCACTCAGGGGCCCCTCTGATGATCTCTGGCTCCTTCTTCAGATCTCTGTTCTCTTCAGTCGACTAGCAGTCATTGGGCCTTCTGATGTCCACTGGACATCCTCTGCTTGCTGTTTCCTTGTGAAGCCTGTTTTCTTTCTGGCTTGGGGTTTCACTTTCTCAGCTGGGGAAACGGTAGACAGTTCCCGCTCCTCCTCCTGAACATCTCTGGGTAAGTCCTTCTTTGCGATCTTAGTGCGTCCGCCTTCCTCCTCACTCACAAATTCAAAATTGTAAAGTTTTCCCTATGTGGGGGACCACTATCATGGGTCACTTTAAGATCCTCAGGCGAGTTTCTTTTAAGTGCAATTTCAAACGATTGGTTTGTCTTAGATGCACTGAGCTTGTTATCTGATTCTAGTTCTTTATTCATTGATATGTTAGGTAGGGGTTTGCCTTGCAAGGTTTTAAGGTCTATTTCAGGTGGAGAGCTAATAGACTTGGTAGCCCTCTAGCTCTGGCACAACACATCTATAGGTTCTGACCCTGCCAAAAGCAATTTACTCCCCTCTATAGATCTCGGTCTCACTACTTGGTCCTCAGGGCAGAATGCTCTTTCCTGGGCCTCATACAAATCTTTCTTCTTTCCAGGAGTACTTCCAAAGCTTGGCTCTGCTACTTCTAAGGACTTTTACCTATATAAAAGATCCTTATCCAGGAAACATCTCTCAGGGCATTCAGGAGACAATAAAGTAGGTGAATTGGCAGCTTCAAAGCAACCCACCAAGCTACTGTCCTCCTTCTGCTCCTGAGCAAAACTATTTTTATTTGGGTTTTCCAAAAGCATGAGATCAGCTTCTGGACGGCTATTAAGCTGACTTTCTAAGGGACTTTCTCCTTCCAGGCTTCCCTCTGCTACAGTATCCATTTTACTGCAGTGGGTGATTTCTGCCCCCCTTAT